AGAGATCACTCAGCCAATTCTACTCCAACCTAAAGGTACAGTTTTTAAATCTTTACTTATTAGCAATGGAAGGTAATTCTGCTGTAATTTTTGGTAACCACTTTTTGTTTCATGAGTTCAATGCAAAAATAAGACACTGAATTACTCTATTTCCCTGTTACTGAAACAATCCAATTTCAGAAGAGAGACCATAGACTCTCTAGAGACCATGTCTGTTAGAGAGGGTAATGAAAGGTGTTCTCTTATTTTATCTAACTTCTTTTCCAAAACATACAGAAATATACCAAAATCCAGACATTTTTCTTATTCATTTTATTGCTCTAAAATATTCTGGCTTAATATAATACCATAAGGAAAACTTTGGAATAAAATGTCTCTGTGTTTAACATTTGTTGTTTTGGCATTTTTTCTTTTCCAAATTTGTAAAAATGAAGAGGCTGTATTTCAAATTTTCCAATGTGGTTACATTTTCAAATCAAACCCTTAATATCCATAAACTGCAAAAATTTAACGTTCTTTTTCTTAATAGTTGATGTATAATTAAGCACAGCTTTAAATTGGAGTTGAAATTAAATATATTAAAAATTACTTGTAAATAACACTTAAATTTTTTAGCATATATACACAGTACAGAGATAAAATTGTATCTGTGGATGATATAGTTTTTTGTTTTTTGTTGCTCTTTAAATTGCCAAGTATTTCAGAATGCTTAAAAATTTATTAATGCTATTCAGTTAACAAATTTAGATCATGTAATCATACTCAGCAAACATATTAGAGAAATAATTTGAAATGAGCATATGCACTTTTTAAAACTAATGAAACATTACAGACCCTATTTCTTCTATAGTCCACCCATACACAAACCTATATTTAAATATCTTATTGGTCAGATATCAAAGAGACCAAATTTCTTACTTGATTATTTTAAGGACTCTTTTTTTTTCTTTTATTATTCATATGTGCATACAAGGCTTGGGTCATTTCTCCCCCCTACCCCCACCCCCTCCCTTACCACCCACTCCGCCCCCTCCCTCTCCTCCCCCCACCCCCTCAATACCCAGCAGAAACTATTTTGCCTTTATTTCTAATTTTGTTGTAGAGAGAGTACAAGCAATAATAGGAAGGAACAAGGGTTTTTGCTGGTTGAGATAAGGATAGCTATACAGGGCATTGACTCACATTGATTTCCTGTGCGTGTGTGTTACCTTCTAGGTTAATTCTTTTTGATCTCACCTTTTCTCTAGTTCCTGGTCCCCTTCTTCTATTGGCCTCAGTTACTTTTAAGGTATCTGCTTTAGTTTCTCTGTGTTAAGGGCAACAAATGCTAGCTAATTTTTTAAGTGTCTTACCTATCCCCACTCCTCCCTTGTGTGCTCTCGCTTTTATCATGTGCTCAAAGTCCAATCCCATTGTTGTGTTTGTCCTTGATCTAATGTTAAGGACTCTTTTTTAAAACAAAACTCTAATGTATTATCACATGTAAACAAATAAATAATAACTAATTAATTATCTGCTCAGTGTTTATATTTCCTCAGTTATTTCCATTTGTTTAAATCAGAATCCAAATAAGAATATAATAAGTGTAATGGTTTATATCTTAAGTGTCCCACAAAGACCCATATGCTGAAGGTTTGCCCACCTGCTTGAGACACTATTGGAAGGTGGTGGAACCTTTGGGAGATGGGGCCTGGTGGAGGGAAGTTAGGTCACTGGGGATGTGCCCTAAAAGGAGATAATTGGGATTCCAATCCCTTCTGTTTCTCTCTGTTTGCTTCCCTGATGCCATAAGGTAAACTCTACCTCTCTATGCCCTGTTGCTGTAATGCACTGTGCTTCCATGGGCTCAAATCAGTGGGGCCAACAACCACAGAAAACCACGAGCTTAAATAAGTCTTCTTTTTAATTGACTTTCTCAGATATTTTGTCACAGTAAAGGGAGCAAACCAGAACAATAAGATTCTTAAGTTGCAGCTTTATGATGCTCACTCATGGCTGTTTTAATCTGTAGGTTCTCAATAACTTTGGTTTTCCTTTGTCTACTTGTTGAAGTAGCTGTGTTTTTAGCCCTGTATAATTTCCCATAGTCCAAAATTTGCTGATTGCATCTGATGATGTGAACATTTGCTTCAGCACCTTGTATTGCTTTAAGTTCTCAATGAAAGTTAGATAGGAATCAAATTCAAAATGCTGGAAAGAATATCTTCTAGAACGTGGTGGGGCACCATCATACCTAGCTAACTCTCTTCATGTCATACTAATAAGCCACTGGTGAGCATTGCCCAGATTTATCATGAAAAGATCATATTCCAGTTCTGTCTACACTGCCTTCACTAGATTACGTGTATAAAGAAAAACATAATAGGCTGAGCATGGAGACTCACACTTGTAATTCCAGCTACTTAGGAGACGGACATAGGAAGATGTCACTCAGTTCAAGACCAATAGGGGCAAAGTCAGTGAGATCCTATCTTATTATTATTTTGTTTTTCCCTCTTTCTTCCATTATCTAGGTCTTCATTCTGGTATCTTATCACTTAATGTCTCTTTTACTGTTACACTTGTATTTCCACTATGGTTTCCCAAACCCTGTCAATTAAGTCCACTTTAGGACTCTTGAAACTTATAAATTTTTGATGAAGATAGTTTCTCAAGATATAAAATACTATTGTGGTTATCTAAATAAAAAAATGTAAGAGAATACAATCGGTATACCCTGTATGTAGCTCAAAATAAGACATACTTATTTTGCTTTATAACCTATAGACTTTTAGAGTACAATTTTAAAAAGACTGGGGAAATGTGTGCTCAGAAATATACGCACTACACTTTTTAAAAATAATCATTCTGTGCTTTCAACTTGAATGAAACTACAATTAAAATTTAACATGGAAGAATTTCAGTTGATCCCAAGACATGACCAATCTGACCAAAGAGTCCACAAACAACATCCACTCTTACCTTGCTGAACTTTAAAAGGGCTCACAAGACACCTCTAAGTACACATGCACACCCACATCTGGTGGTGTCTACTACTCCTAGCTAGTCAACAACAAACAGCCAGGCCTCCCCTACTGACTAGTCATCTGCCAAAAATCTAACAAATTATTTTAGAAAATTGAACCTCTACTTGTCAGTGGAAAATGCATTGAAATAGGAAATTTACCATACTTTCCTTATATTTGACTTTCACAAATGATTATCTAAATATCACCAAGGGGGTAATGATGTCACTTTCCTTTCCCAGTTGTGAAAGAGGCGTTGCTGTCCCATTTCGCCCTAAGGCTAACTGATGCTTAGAAGAAGCATCAGAAACTTGTACATCACAAGAGATCTGTGTTTTAGAGAAGAAGAGAAGCTAGAATTTGAACTCAAGTCCTGTGACACAGTCCTTTGTGCTATCCACCCCACAACAGCACTTTGTGTTCTTGCACCAAGATGTGGAGCACTGTGAAAGCAATGTCTTTAGTCTCTGTTTAGAAGTGAGATGTTTGGGGTATGGTTTGTATTTTAAATGATAAATAATTTGGACTTTTGGGGTGTATAAACAGGAGATTGGGCAAGGTAAGATGATCTATAAAAAGCTTCTCTGGCCAGCTCTGATTTTCAGTGTGATCTTTCTTCATGCTCATCCATTTGCATATCCCTTTGCCTGTCAGTCATGTCCATGATAAAAGCAGGGGAGATATTATTTACATCAACCATGCTTTTAAACATAAGCCCTGGGTCATTTGAGCTCTTCAAGTAGGCCCATTTAGGCTCTCATGGAATCGTTGCTCTCTGAATTTCTAGTGGACTTCATCTTTTTATAATTGCTTTGCTGGATCAAATGTAAAACAACAAAGGTATTTGATGAAGAATACAGATAAAACCATGCACTATTCAGGCTGAATTTTAAGCTGTCCAATTTCTATGAAGAGGGAGCCTAGAAAAATGGGTCTGATCATGTGTTTGATTTTCTTCTTTCTAGTGTATATAATCTCAGTCTTCAAATTTCAGAAAAGTATTTGTTTCTTTCTATCATTTGGAAATAAATTATAAAATTTCTAAATACATGTATATATATTTAAAATTCAAGGAAGATTAAAAGCAGCATACATGACTGCCCATCCAAATGCTTTTAATATTTTGTTGTTTTCTTTCAGTCTTTGTACTTTTGAGTCCGAATTCTTCATAGGTTGTATTCACAATATGTATAACACTATACATGCTGTTAAATATTATACCATAAATAAATTCTCATCTTGTTACATAATTACCATAACATAGTAATATAGGTCTTCATGATAATCTATTGTGTAGTTAAATTATCATTTTTTAACTCACCATCATCCATCAATGGTTAAGTTCACAATTTTTTTACTGGTTTCATCTTGTGAAAAGAAACTTTGGACTACAGCTTTGGACTATTTCCTGGATAGTGAGTTACGTAGGCAAAAACAATACACTTTTAGGGTTGGTATCCCAGGTGGGCACAATGTTTTCCCAAAGACATTGTGTAGTGAGAATGACAGCATAATATTAAGGAATGCCTTAAAAATGGCATTCCTACCATCATTCCAATACATATGTATTGTATATAAGATTTCCTCAAACTGTGGCCAGATGCAGTGGCTCACATCTGTAATCCCAGCTACTTGAGAGGTAGAGATCAGAAGGATTGTGGTTCCAGGCCAGCCTGGGCAAAGTTACTAAGACTCCCATCTCAACCAGTAGCCAGGCATGGTAGTATGCATCTATAAGCCCAGCTATGCAGGAGGCATAAATAGGAGGATCATATATGGTCCACACCTGCCCAGGGAAACTGCTGGACCCTATACAAAAAATAGCTATAGCAAAAAGGGCTGGTGGTATGGCTCAAGTGGTAGAGCATCTGTCTAGCAAGTACAAGGCACTGAGTTCAAACTCCAGCACACCAAAACAAAATTTTCTCAAAACATTTCAGAAGTGATAAATGACACCTCATCACATTCTTTTTGTGCTTTCCCTTTCCATATCAGAGTGAAGAAGGATCCCCACAAGAAGGAATTCTGGAAGATATGCCCATGGATCCTGACAATGAGGCTTATGAGATGCCTTCTGAGGTAAAGTTTAATATGCATAAAAACCCAAACACAAAGTTGAAGAGTTCAAGTTGGGTGTCCCCTATAAGTAGTACCAAAAACTTGTCATCGCTGAATATCACTTATTGTTGTGGTCTGTGTAAGTCCATCAGGAGTTTTATTGAGGAGACTGTGTTGCTCTGGGAGGGAGAGGATGAGAGATATGGTTGTTCAAAAGAAGGAGAGAATCTTCCAGCACCAGGGAATGTCAGAAACACAGGCACACATGGCTGTGCAGGTGGCTGTCTGAGGAACAGGAGTGAGTATGAGTCAAGATTTGGACCACAGGGAATAGTGATAGCTCAAGGCTGAGGAGAGGGGTATAGTCACAGACACCTATGGAGCCCCAAGACAGCCTGACCGCCTCAGTTTGTACTTTATTCAAGACAGGATTATCGTTAAGCAGAATCCTGATATTCTTATAGTTGTTCTTAGGCAGACTTACCTGAGCCCTTTAGTTAAGACCATTGCTGTTTTTATGGTGGATTTTATGCAAATATTGCACAGGGGCTTGATCTTTTGAATAGAATAAAATAAAAATAATCACCAAAGCCATTCACAAAGATGAACTTTCCAGTTAGAGGAGAGAAAATGTATTTGTGTTTAAATGTCTTAATTTCCTTCTAAGAATTAGAGCATCTTAAGCCTGACAGAGGCTTCCAAAATCATTTGACTGCCCTCATATTTTACATTGAGGAACATAAGAGGCAGAGATCCCAGCTAAGTTTTCTTGTAGGATTAGTTAGGTGATTGTCAAATAGCACATCTGGAAGTAGACCCATGTGTGCTAACTATAACTACCAGAATTTACTTTTCTAGCAAAAGTATTGAAAAAATAAGATTATGTTTCCTTATAACCAAATAGTTACCTGTTTTGAGTATAAATTTTAGTCACAGTGGTGCACCATGTCCAGTGTTATTTGCTCTCAATTGCCTAATTGGTGATCACTTCCACTAACAATGCATGTATGTTTTTTGATTTTCCTCACACTAGGAAGGCTATCAAGACTATGAACCAGAAGCCTAAGACATATCTTTGCTCCTAGTTCCTTGAGATCTGCTGACACATGTTCCATCCTGTACAAGTGCTCAGTTCCAATGTTCCCAGTCTTGACATTCTCTCAAAGTCTGTACAGTATATCTTGAAGTCTTCCATCAGCAGTGATTGGAGATCTGTGTCCGCCCCACTCAGCATTTCGGTGCTTCCCTCTCACTGAAGTGAATCTTGTGTGCTGTGGATATTGTGGCTTCAAATCTAAAATGTTAAAACAAATTAAAAACACCTAAGTGACTACCACGTATTTCTAAATCCTCACTATTTTTTTGTTGCTATTGTTGAGAAGTTGTGAGTGATCTTTACTCTCCTATATTATAAGATTTCTAGATCTCTTTAATGATTCATTCTGTCTAAGAAAAATGATGTATTGTGAAATTTGTTATATACAATATTTAAAACTTGTGAGCATGAGACTATGCACCTATAAATATTAACCATGAAATTTTACTGTCTTGTGATGTGTTTTGTTAACTTGTGTTTGTATATAAATGGTGCAAATTAAAATAAAATGTTATCTCAGTATGAAAGTATTCACTTTAATAATGAAATCATGCTTATCAACAATATGTCATGAAAACTGACAAGGAGGACTTCAATCTCTTAACAGCCACTTAAAGCAGGAGGAACTTGAGAGGAGTTAGGGCAGGTGAAACATTTATGCTACACTGTGAATTCCCTGAAGAAACACTGTCTGACGTGTGTTCTCATCTGCACTGGTAACTTAAGAGGCTAAAATGAAAAAGCAGGTTCTATAGAATTACAAAGCCTGAGAAACGATTTTGAAGACATCCCCTTCAGATATCCATAAGACACATTAGTGTGTTAAAGGCTCTGAGAAAAGCTAGTTAAATCAGCGTTTCTCTTTTATTTTTATTATTATTATTGTTGTTTTTAAAATCAGAAATGCTGGACTGACAGAATGGCTCAAGTGGTAGAGCTCCTGCCTAGTAACTATGAGGCTCTGAGTTCAAGCTCCAGTACTGCCAAAAAAAATAAATAAATCAGAAATCCTCACTCCCTTCTCAGGAAATGCCTTCAGACATCTCTGGGGGGCAAGGGTAGCATGCAGAGTGGCTAGAGTTCAATTCCTAGCACCCAGAACCAATAGTAATAACAGCAACAATGATAACAGTAATAATCAAGTAAATACCAAAAATTTTTTTAAAATTAGGAAACATCAGGTCTCTAGGTTTTTGAAAAAAATCTCATGGATTCCTTTAGATCTTGCTAAGTATATCAATTCTAGGATATTTCTTTAGGAAATCATTTTCTTTTTAGGAAACATTAATAAATTCCCCACAAGTGCTGGCAGCAAATTTGACTGTGAAGAACCCATATAAGTTAGTTTAAAAATTATTCACTTCATTTCTTAAATTATTCAGGAAAAAGTGGCACAGTCACTTTAAAAAGTCACTTGTACAAAGTGCAGTTTTAAGAAAGAATATTCTAGATGTGCTAGCAGTTTATATATAATATATTTTGATGTATATTGGGCATTGGCAAGGAAGGAAGGAAGGAATGGGAGACTATAAAGATGGTTACCATAGAAACTTCCATTTTTGCCTAATTAGAAAGAGCCTACTATGGAGTGTTTAGCCGTGTGTGGCCTTATGCTGGAGAGAAGTGGTTAAGTCTCCTGTTTTGTTTAAGCAAGTACAGGATTCACTATTGAAGAGCATATGTCAAAGTAGCTTAGAAAATGGGGGTTAAGTATACTTCAAATCTACCTAAAGCTCTTAAAAAATAAAGCAAGGCATGGTGGCAAACACTTGTAATCCTGGTACTCTGGAGGCTCAGACATGAGGATCATGGGTTCAAGGCTAGCCTGGGCTACAATAACTACATACATAGACCTTGTCTCAAAACCACACACACACACAATGAAAATTTATTCCTGAGGAAGAAAAATAGGTTTTTCTAACTGCCAACTTGACAAACGGCCTCAAACCACCATTGATGACACTTTGTTCTTTCTGCCATGGGCAGTACAAGAGTACAACCTGCTACCTCTGTCCCTAGATTTGGGTATAGTTTTTAATATATATTAATATATAATAACTAACATGTACTATCATAATATATATAATATATACTAATGTATACCTTATATAATTATTAATATACTAATATATATAGTGTTAAATGTAGATGTAAGTGATTTGTCCATATCAGGTCATTTAACTATCAAAAGAACAAAAAGAGGTTCCATCATTTCTCTCTTTTTATACACGAGCAAACGCCTGTAGGCTGAGGAGCTCTGTCAAGACCACTTAGCTAGTAAGTGGCCGAGCCAGGAGTGCCAATCACAGGCACAACACTGTCTTTCCAAGTGCCAGCATACATCTAAAAGAACCTTCTAGAAGTCTAAAAAGTGGCCTGCAGCCTTCTCTAAATATAATTGTTATTATATTTCTATTTTTCTTTGGATGTCTAAGTGTGTTATAAGTGATACTTTCATGTTTGGAGGCATATTTCTAACTCTAAGAGAAATTGGTCAGCCCTTAATAGATAGTTCCCTATATTTAATCTGTGTTTGTCCTGATAATAGAACTAAGTTATTTATTTTCAATAAAAAATTGGAAATTTGATATAATTGAGATATTGATATAATAATAACAGTCTATATTAAGGCAAAGTACTGTAATTATGGGGATTTGACTTCTGCTAAGTGGTCAAAGAAAAAGTATAAATAGGATTTTTAATTACACATTTTAGCAATAGAAGAGCTGATTTTATAAATATCTTACATAGTAAAGGGCATAATTTAAGAATTTGTATTAAAATAATATCAGAACCTTAATTATTTTATAATAAGTTTTGATTTTTCTAGATTTATTTTTAATACAGTAGTGCCACAGTTTATTCTTTGAAGAATCCAAAACACAATAGAATGCTATAACACTAAAACTATTTTCAAGTATGACTTTACTTCCAATATTTCTTGTACATTTATCTAAGATTTCCTTTAATATTACTACAGTACTTTTCATTATTTTAAAACCTATATTGGAAAACATTAAACACATTTCTTCAAGAAGCTGTAGTATGAGTCTCCAGTAAGTTTTGCTAATATAATTTAGTTCTAAAATCAGATAGGACTGCATAGGGAATTTCTGAATGTTGAGCTTGCAACTATGGATCAATATAGCCAACTGGGTTGGCTTCTCTTATGAGTTCTATGAAAATGTATCCTCAGATTCCCTCAAAGGTCAGGAACCAGAAATTCCCACTGTTTCTATGGCAACACAGCAAGATATGGTGCCTTGGAACTGTGCTGCATTTTAATTAGGTTCCTCTAGGGCTTCCTAACTGCCTTTTGCAGGTAAACTAAATACCAGGTTTCTTTATGTCTTACAGTGAGATGAAAGCTAACCCATGTCTGTAAATGTCAGAGCTAAGCTGGGCTCCGGTAAAGTCAAATCTAAGCAAATATAGTAGCAACTCTGTGTATTTATTTTAGCAGAGAATGCAATACTCTTTACCTAGAATAGTCAGTGATGCTTGCTTAATGTGGCTGGCAGAAGGCGTGAACAGCCCAGACTCTGCACTGTACTCTGTAGGACTGATTCCAGTAACTACTTACTACCTGTGTTACTCTGAGCAAGTAAATTAATCTCTTGGTGCCTCTGTTTCTTTATCTGTGAACATGCAGTTGAAAATAATAGTACCTCATAGCTGGTAGTGTGAAATAAGTGAATTGGGGAATGTTTAGGACAGTGCCTGGCTGAGAGCATAGGATCAATGAGCCAATGCTGTTAGTTGTGATAGTGGGGTACGCTGAATTTTTAAAGGTAGAGAAATAGAGCATCCAAATCCATTCATTTTTACCATTCATATCTTCTCATAAATAGTAATCAAGCTGGAGGAGTGGCTCAAGCAGTAGAGTACCTGCCTAGCAAGTACAAAGCACTGAGTTCAAACCCCAGTACCACCAACAAAAGAATATTGTGATCAAAATTGAAGTGATGGTAGAGACACTTTGGAGACTTTGAGAAAGAGGCTGCTTACTGGATCAATTTAATACTTTAATTAGCAATATTTCCATACTTGTGTGTACTTAACAGGATATCACCTGTTAAGGAGAAGGATATCACCAAAAAGGGGGAGGAGGATGGATAACTTACTAAAAGGTGAATGAGTACAAAATTTATAAACATTATTTTTATGGAATACAGGTACTTTTAGACTCAGCTGTATTACTCAAGTCACTTATATTAAGTAGATAGATGATAGATTGATTGATAGATGATAGATAGATGTAGTATGTCTATGCATTCATGTATTATGGCTCTAGTCATTAGAAAAAATGAGAGAAAAAGGAAAAAAACAATATAAGGACAACTCACTGATTTAAAACTCATTTATCAAAAACCAGCCACTTGAATTACCATTGCCTTCCCAAGGCTAATTGGTTTCCCATTGTCTTTCCCATGTCCCTCCCACTTGGTTCTTCTCTCTTTCATTGTACTGGGGCGTTGAACTCAGGGCCTCACAGTTGCTAGGCAGACACTCTTATTTTTGGAATAGAGTCTTGTGTTATTTGCCCAAGGCCAGCCTGGAACCATAATCCATCTGCTTACACTTCCCATTTAACTGTCACCACAGGTGGCACCACCGTGTGCCTGGCTTATTTGTTGAGATGGGAGTCTTACTGTATGCCTTGCTGGTCTGTAACAAGATCCTCCAGATCTCCACCTCTTACTATAGCTGACCTTTACAGCTCAATTTTTTGACCCAAAAGGAGGTCTATTTACTTAACAACTTCTATATTAGCTAGAAACAGTAGAGGTACAAGCAATCATGTTTACAGGGAAAGCATTTTTTGTTTTCTTTTGCCTTTAGTGACTTCCTAGGGACCAAAAAGGGTGTGAGTTGTTGATGATTGCTTTGGTGTCACTCTGTCCTATCATCTTGGCAGCAGTGGTGAAAGTAAGCCAGTAGGACAGTGTGAACTGGCATTTTGAGAACTGAGAGCAGCAGAAAATTATTACTGAGTACTCTATTTCTTAACAAAGATTAACTCATTAAAAAAAAGTCTAAATACAGACAGATGAACATACTATTTGCCATATAAGCCCCCACACAAATCTCTGTGGAAATGGTTAAGGCAAGTCTTGAGAGACTGCCAAATACTTACAATTCAGCAGGACTGACTCCCACTCTTGAAGAGGAAGTGCCATGTTGACTGATGAGAAATCTGGCCGTCAGCCTTGGGCAACCTTAGCAGCTTATGCCATGCCTTCAGTGAGGCCATGACTGACAATGATGAACAGAGCAAAACAATGATTACAAAGATAAGTATCTTTTCCACAATTAGAAAATATTATCCAAACCAAATGACACCTAATCAAAATGAGTGTTGCTTGCATAATGGCAATAACTGATTCTGAGCTTTACAGCAACAATGTTTGGAGGTAAAGCACTGATGGACACTTGGAGCCCTTTGAAAAGGAGTCAAACACAACCCAAGTCAGCTCTGAGAAGAGCTCTGTAAATCAATTTATGATTGTTTTGTCACTGTC